TAAAGAGAATTGTTTTCCACACCGACAACTTTTTTTTGTTCGTAGCACAGATAAAAAAATTGACATTGCCAAAATAATTTTCTTCACAAAATGAAAAAAAAAAACAATTGTGCATAGTCAATTCGATCGGCGTGTAAAATGACGTGTATAAAAAATGTGTGCAAATACTCCCAATGCCTAACTATAAAACGAATACCCTCATACCCATAGCTCGCTTTGTGAAACTCAACTTTTTTCGCGGAATGTGAGCAACTGTTAGGGGTACGTATGACTCCATAGACTTAACGAAAAGGACAACTTAATCGTTCATTCATTAAGTCATATGTACTTATGTCTTAATTGAAAATATGACTTATTTATTCACTCAAAAAAATTGACTTAATCATTAAACTGTGAAAAGACACTCCTTCCCATTTAGACGCGCATTAAGACGTTTATTCACTCAGTTTTTATACATGACATAAAATAGATAAAGACATGTAAAGTAAACTGCGGTAGACCTGCACAAAAACGGGTTCGGGCTGGGCTCGGGCCGGGCTTTTTATAAATTTTTTGCCCATCATGTGTGGGCAGGCCCGGCCCGCAAAAACGGGCCTAACCCCATGTCCATACCCGCTCGTTAGAGCGGGCCGGGTAGTCCACCGGGCCTCCCGGCCCGGAAAAACTTTGATTTTTTCAAAATTATATAATTTTTTTAATACTTTAAAAATAATATTACAACATTTAAAAAATTGTTAATACGATTATAATGTTTATATGCGTTTCACCACACGCAAAAATAATAGAAATAATTACATGAATATGACCAAAATAAAGATGGTTTACAAAAATATGATTAGTTACTAGAGTAGTAATGAAATCATAGTAATTAATGTTCAAGTTTTGAACTTAAGTTACTACAACACCACCTTATAGTAATGAATAGTTATATTTATGTAAATAAGTTTTATTTTAGTAATATTCTTGTAAAAACCCCAAAATAATACTTACACAAAATAATAATGAAAAACTATATCTAAAATTTAAATTCAAGCACAAAGTATTACTCCGTATCTTTTAAGTACAAAAATATATAATATATTAGTAGGGCTAGTTGTTAAGAACTAAAAACTTAAATTTAAACATAATAAACTATAAATATATATAAAGATAAATTATATTAGTAAATATAAATTTACATTTGTACATGTAGATAAATAAATTAGTGTGTGTGTGTGTGTGTGTGTGTGTACACACACGCTAAATCTAGCCGTCCGGGCTTATCGGCCCGAACGGGCCTACACCCTAACCCAAGCTCGCCCATATGTTATTGCGGGCTGGGCATGGCCCGGCCCGGTGGGTAAATATATATGTCCAAGCCCGGCCATTTATGCGGGCCGATTGGGCGGGCCGGGCAGGCCGACCCGGTTTTGTGCAGGTCTAAGTAAACACGCAAGCTGCTTAAAACCCCGCTTACTAACCTAAAGAGGTGCTTAAAGTGTCACTTACTAAGCATACCATCCCCCATGTATTAATTAATCGGCACTTTCAAAATTACCCCCACCCTACCCCCGACCATACCCCCTTATCCCACCCCACTTACCCTACCTCTTTATCCCCACCACCTGCCCCTACCTTGACCCCGCACTGACCCCACTCCTACCATAAGGGTTACCCCCTCCCCTACCTACCCCTTACAACATACCACCCATCCCTACCCCGACCCCACACGACCCCGACCCCAACCCACCCTTACGAGTTAGGGTTGGGGTTAGAGGTTAGGGGGTATGGTTATGAGCAGTGGAGGAGCTAGGGAGGGGCATGAGGGGGCAAACGCCCCCGCTTCGGGCAAATTTCTTTAGTACTACTACTTATAATATATTTAATGCCCCTCCTTTTGTCAAAAATAAATACTATTTAAGGATAATTTTAGGTTAAATGTTAAAATAAAAGGAAAAGTTTTTCAGGAAACGTACGTGTCTTTAAGAATATAAGTATTGGTTGTAGCATACCACACTCATATAAATACAAGTGTGGATTGTTTTAGACATTAAATGACAAATGTGTTAGCTTTTTGTGATTATAGTGAGCAAGAAAGTGTTGAGTTTGCCGAATATGTTGTCACTTTTATTGTAACAACAATATCATCAAAACATTCTCGATATTATGTTGGATTCCCTCCTTGGTGGAGAAATTCATGAGAATTTTAGAAATTTTAGAGCATCCAAGATTCTATTTATGTGTGTAGAGATGTGTTGAGTGTTCTAGAATAATAATGTAGAGTTTTTTTTTTAGAGAAATGTGGAACTCACAAAATCATGTGGAAGCCACTAGAACATTTTGAAGAATTGTGGGGTTTTCTAAATCCTTCCAAAAGATAAGAGAAACTTGTGGATACTTTTTGAAAGAATCTAGATGTGTAGTGGTGTATAAAAATTCTAGAGAAACTTTGATGAGATTTATAGAGAAGCTTCTCATTTATATGAGAACTTTGAGGAGATCTCTTGAGCGAGTGAAACTGAGAGTCTCTTTGGAAAAGAAGAGTGAAAGCCTTCTTATGAGAAAAGAAGGCTCAAAGGTATCGTTTGACGTGGTGTATGTGATCAATTTAGGTAGAGTGAAGTAGTCTCATATACAAAAAGTGAATGAGAATAATACAAAGTGATATTGTGAGATCGAGTCTTTGTATTGTGAGTATGTGGATATATAAGTGTACAAAAGTCTATGAGCTCGTGATCTTGAAAAAGGCTAGGGTCGTATTTTTCCAACATAAAGTTATTATACAACATTTTGAACAAATTAAAACTCGCATAATTGATCTACCGAGATTATAGATATAAGTCAAGCAGTATGTAACGAACTAATATGTGCTAATGTATTAAGCTTTTATTGTTTTAATTAAATTTTGAGCAAATACACAAAATTCTTAGCCTTAAGTATGCCCCTTCTTCGAAAAATCTCTGGCTCCGCCACTGGTTATGAGGGGTTGTAGGGGTAGAGGGTAAGGTCATGGTAAGGGTAGGGGTAGGGGTTAAGGGTGTGGAATTGAGGGTAGGGTGTTGGATAGGGTATAGGGGTAAGGGGTTTGGGTACCCCACATATTATATTAGGGAAATTTACCGAGATATGACTAAAACTCAATGAGTTTCTCAATCTATGACCTAACTAGTTTTTATACCTTTGTATGACCGAAAATCCAAAAACAAATAGAAAATTCGTTATATTTAAATGTTGAATGACGAAAATACCCTTATTTAAAATATGTGCATTTTGCACTAATTGCGTCCAATTAAAATTAATGCACTTTATATTGTCGTTACTGCACAAAATTAATGCACGTCTTTACTGCACATCCGGTAATAATCACTGCACTTCCGCCAAAATTAATTCTCTTCTCATTATTTTCACTTGAGGAATTTATTTCTGTTTTTATTTTTTATTTTTTTGGATTTAGTAATTTTATTATTTTACCTCTAATTGAGTATATTGCATTTCATGATGATATCATTACTCTGTGTTACTACAATATCGGTCATAATCAATTCACAACAAAATTTCTTAATGCATTCATTCACTGCCATGTTCAATACGTCTATTACCATATACATTCACGGTCTACAACACTTATTGAAATACGGAGTATTTAGTGATGGTGTTCAATGCCCATATTTAATGCCCAGAACCTAATCTAAAAAAAAATAGAAAAATTAAAGAAAAATGAAAATGATGGCAGGCGAGGCTATATTTTGAAAAAAAAATGCAGTGGGGTTGAAATCTAATTAAAAATGAATTGAAGTGTGTGGTGTCCATTCAAATTTTACGGAATATCCCATATAAATCATCTTTAATATTACTCTCTCAACCCTAATAGCAACTCCTGCGTGGCGGCGCCTTCATTTTCTCCGGATCTCACCTTGCCTCATCTATTCTTCAGTAGCATGTAACTAATGCAGCCATGCGCTGGATGCCGAAGGAGGAGAATGGCTATGAAGCGGCGGGCGGGCAGCTACGTGACATGATGGAGGAGCGTAGCGGCGACAGAGCTCCTAGGCCCGCGATCTGATCTGTGGAAGGCGGCTGCGATGGACAACAGGCGGCGATGGTGATCACTCACGATGTCCAGCTACGATGGGAGACGCGCTAGTCGCCGGCGGCAGACGGAGGACCAGGGACGGCGGCGGACAGATTGACGAGGACGGCAGAGGCAGGGGCGTGCGGTGGGGATGGGAGGTGGCGGAGCTTGGGCGTGGGAGATTGGAGGTTAGGGTTGGAGGAAAAAGAGTTGGAGATTAGGATTTTATAGGTATTTGTTAAAGGGTATATTTGTCAACAAAAAATATTTATTATTTAATTATCACGAATTTTAATTAAATATTTCAAATTTTAATATTATATTGGGAAAAAAACTGGTTAAGTCATATATTGGAAAACTCATCTTGTTTTAATCATACCCAAGGTAATTTACTCATTATATTACATACTCCGTACTTGTGTTCATGAATGTTTGTGTGTGTGTGTATGTGTGTATAAGGTCATTTTGAACATTTTGATGTTAAACGATGTTTTAAATATTTTGAAGTAAACATGAGCTTACAACATAATTTATTTTATGCGCCGCTTATTAACGCGAGTCCTAGTAAGCACCGTTAGTAACCCGTGAAGTAAACATGTCCTAGTATAATAATATTATAGTGTATACTATTGTACGTACGTAGTATATGAATATGGGTTGGTGCTAATTCATACTCCACTACTCTATAATAATGACCTCGTAAATTGAAACACTTTACAAAAAAATGTAAAGACTCATTATTTGAAAGTGCAAAATTACTACTTGTAATTATTTAATTGCACTATTTAATTAGTATTCAATTGATTTGAGTATAAAATTAAGATCAAAATTACTTTTTAGTTTTTATATCAAAATGGGCCCTCAAATTTGTATTTTGGATGGGGCGGGCCCTATCAAATTCATTAGACCGGGAAGGCCCTATGAAACTTAATTCCAAAATTACTTGATCCTTCAAACTCATTCCACTTGGTCGTTCTTGAAAGTGAAATAATGGATTCTCAGCACCTTGACAATGAAGGCGGCACCCATATGGAAAGCGGTACTGACGGGCATGGGGAAAAGAGAAAAGAGCCCGATGAGAAAGATTTCGCACCTCCCGATGATCTCATCAAGAGAAGAGACAACAAAATTGTTGTCACCTCTGACAAGGACGAGGATGACGATGACGATCAATACGATGAGTTTTATGTCTTTGAGACAGCAGGCGGTGATGATGATAAGGTAGTAGCCTGAATTTAGACTTTTCGCTCTCTCTTATTCATCGTCTTGTTGGATATTTTTCATAACCCTTATAATCACCAGGGATTGGAAGCTGCAGTGGTTGCGCGGAACCATAAAGGTTCAGAAGCTGAGAAGCGAATCTATACGGTGAGCTATACTCCCACTTTTTTGCCAGAATTTGGGGTTTAGTTCTTTCCTTTATTCAGCTAGGCCTAGAATAGATCATGTTGAATACACACACACACACATATTAATAATCTATGTTGTTTTTCGCAAAAAAAAAAAAAAAATAATCTATGTTGTTGGTAAACCAATAGAAATAAAAATAAAAATTTCACCTGAATGTGTAAGGCATGTTCAAGTAGTAATATGTGATTTAAAATGGACTGCTCTTAGTGGCTTCAATAGTTCACGACTCCAGGATCAACAACATATGTTCCCCTTAAAAAGATTATTCTGGTAATTTAGAAAGGTCTAAAGAAAGTAACTGTTTTGATGAACTGCATCCATCCTCATTTAATTTGTTCAAATCCTGCTTCTTTCCTAGATACCTACTATAGCTTGCCTTGTAAATTTTGATAGATCTATTATGAAATTATTACATCACATGGAACTTATCTGAGCTGCTGATTCCCCATTCATCTTTGGCTATTTATATTTAATTTTCTTCTTACATTTTACTTGGCTTTGGGGACAGAGCTAGAAATTATCTTTAGGGGTGGGATTTTTTTCCGATACCCATTGATCACTATAACATGTTTCCATACATGTATGATCAAACTATTCGTTGGAACCTGTTTGGAGTTAGTTAATATAGGTTAAGCATCCTAAGTTGTGAATAATGAAAAATTGGTCTCAAGTCCCAACATGAATAGTCATTATGGCTGTTTTTTCTATATGGAGAATAGATTGCGGGAGGTAATTTCATGTGCATAAATTGTGTTTATTAAGCTTTATTTCTTATTTCAAAAAAGCCTTATTTCTTTTGCTACATACTTGTTATGTGTGAATCTTTAAATGTATGGAAATGAATAACTCAGGTATGAGTCACCGTAGTCTCGAAAATTGAATTTCACTTATCCTTGGTTATCTTAGTTGAAAATGCATCTCTGATTCTTGTCAATCATAATAATGGTTTTTTTTATTTTTGTTTGCGAAGGGTAGTACATACTTGGTTTGTGCAGTTTCTATGGTGATGTTCTGTTCCTGTTTGGGTTGAATAATGTTGCTCTTTTACATGTTTTAGCCGTTGCTTCCATTTTCCCTGCTTTTATGGTTTCTGGAAACTTAGTTGTTTATTCTATTGCAGCTTAAAAAGGAACAAGAACTATATGACAGTGTTTCGGAAGATGATCCAAATTATCACAGTAAGAGGAGGATCAGAGCTACGTTAACTAGGAATGGTGAAGTACTATGGTCAATGATGCGTTTCATCAGTTGATATTTAAAAAATGTAATCTCTTCTGATTATTTATAAATGCCTTTTTCTCTGGTTAGTAAAAATATGTCGCTATTGTTGGATCATGACACATTTGCCGCATGTGTATTTTATAGAGTATTTATCAGGGATGCATTTGAGTTAGGTCTGAGTTGGTTGAGTATACACACATACTACGTACATTTGTATATGCATGTGGGCAGTGGCGGACCCACTAAGGGTCCCATGGGGTCCCGGGACCCGTGTACGTTCAAAAAAATTACTATATATATTATATATATTTTATATAAAACTTACTAAGGCATGTATAAATACACCAAAAGTGAATATGAAAACTAAAGAATGAAGCGGGCGGATGGTAGCATCGCAAAACTGCGGGCTTCCTTACCCCAGAGGTACAGGGTTCAATTCCCAAGTAGTTCCCCATTTTTGTTTTTTGAATGTATTTTTGTGAAAGATCATTATTTTGAAGTTTACATTTTACATAATTAATTTTTTTGGATTAATTATTAAAATTGGTTTGACTATTAAAATTAATTATTAAATGTATGATATTTATGAATAACTTTGCGATTTAGGATGAAAACATATTTCGATATTCTATCCGGATTTAAAGAAATTTGGAGTACCGGAAGTAAATCAAACGTTAATTCAAATGATTCGTCATTATTAAATGAAAAAATGGATCAAATAATTGTTAAATGTGAAATTCATATGACTAATTGTCTACAAGACCAACATGTTGAAACCTAAGAAGGTTCATTTGTAGAATTGTAGAGCGAAATATATACTTCATATGTAATTTTATTTTGTGTGTTATGACTATCTTGATATTTTCATAATGTACGTTAATTATGAAATATTATGCTACTTTAGAGTTTGTTTGGTAATACTCGAATAGGCTATATTGACTGATTCTACTAAAATTTATGAAGTTACGGCTAAAGTGACTGGATTGGTTGATTCTACTTATTTATGAAAAATATATTTAAAATATATTTTATTAATAAAGTAAAGAAAAAATCATAGTATCCCAATACAACCAATACAACTGAAATATACTATGAAGCGACTGGATTGGCTAAAGTATGAAAGATAGTTTAAATGATTTTATACAGTAACTTCAGTCAATACAGCCATAAAAGTAACTCTAAACTTACATTTTCTTATTGTTACACAATTCAACACACGAAATCAAAAGTTACGTGTTTGGTAAATAAATTAGTTGATAAACCTAATAAGCCGGCAAAAAATCGCCTAACGGGCTCTTATTAATTAGAGTTACATTAGAGTAGGGACCCCGTGATCCCGATTTTCTGGGTCCGCCACTGCATGTGGGTTATTTAGCATTATGTCAAATTTCCTTAAAATGGGTTGGTGAATCTGGGTGTACCCATTTGTGCGCGAAAGTGCATATTAAGCGTCTAACGTATGTTAAAAAAGAACAAAACCTTTATCCATTAATTACTACGGACTACATTTTTTCTATATGCTATGTTTTCTTCTAAAGTTAAGCTCTTTTCTTGTCAATATACTCCCATAGTCCCATTCCGTTCCAAACTTATGCACTCAACTTCTTGTTTATTCCGTTGCATACAAGTCATCGGAGGTTCTAATTCACTTTTAGGAACAATGCTAAACCCTAAGGCCTAAACAATGCCTAGAATCTGTATTTCTTTGTTACTCAAGCAGCTTACTCATTAATCATAACTTTTTTTACACCATCCTGCATAGCTCCATTAGTCCATTATGAACAAAGATAATATGAGGTTTGGAAATACCATAAAGTGGTGATATTTGAAGAAGTCAAACACTTATAAATTATAATTAAACTCCCTGATTTTCAAGCTTTCCGTGTAAAAGTAGTGATTCCTCTTTCTGTTTAAGGTCACGCACTCTCTTAGTACCTGCTGCGAATAATACCCTAAGTCCCCAACCTTGTTAAACAAAAAGAGGCGTACAACGCAATACGATCCAGTAATAAGGGATGGCATAGGGCAGGTTATTCTGACCTCTTCCCTACTTGAAAAACACTGCCTTTAGCTACCGTTTGCATATTTCAATTAGGGCTTTGCGCTCAGTTTCTATGTTTAATTTTGCATCCTCCAACTCTTTCTCTATCCTGCTCTATGCAAGATAAGAGCACGAGTATTAAAATTAAAGAAAAAGGAGACAGAACAACAATCACCACAAAAATCAGATGAAACTTATAGATATATTACAAATATAAATGCCAATTTAACTTACTTATAAAATGATAAGGTTTCTGGACAATTCATGAAGATGTAAGTATGTGCAATTTTTAATTCTCCATCCACGGTGTAACGGTTAGTTGCACCTTTACCTCTATCTGAGTAATTGAAAATGGAAACTTCCTTGTCGGCTTGTCATATAAGTCCTTGTCAATGTCATCTCGTTCCGGACATCCAGGCATGTCTCTTTCTTTTAGTGATGACTTCACGCTCAAAATAAAAAGATGAGAACGTTGAAATTTTCTTGTTGAATATATTCTTGACAAATTGAAGCCTCAACGTGTGCCTTGTTGGTCACTTTCTTTTTCAACTCTCCTAGAAATCTGCAATGAAAAGTAAAATTTGTAAACAAACAAATGTTCTTATTAAATAAATTTTCAAATATAAATGAAATTGTGACTAACCTTTCAAATGGGTACATCCAACGATAGAAGACGGTCCATTTAGAGCCTCATACGGAATATGTATTATAAGATGTTCCATTCCATCGAAAAATGATGGAGGCCGTATTTTTTCCAAATTACACATCAGAATGGGAACAAAGTCTTCTAGTCTTCGGAGGGATTCTGCATCCAAAACGGTGGAACATATCGACTGAAATAACAAACTGATTTCAGTAATACAGGATCATACCTGTTCAGGAAGCATCTCTTTCAATGCAATCGGCAGAAATCTTTGCATAATTGCATGAGCATCATGACTTTTCATGCGCGACGTCGTTGTAAGTTTGTTCATGTCCACGCGTCTGGACAGGTTAGAGCAGTAGCCATCTGGAAACTTAAGATACACAAGCCACTTTAATATTGATGTCTTTTGTGCATCTGTGACTTGGTAGACTGCTTTTGGAATTATGTTACCCTGATGTTCTAGATCAACAAAAAGTTCGGGTCTATCACACTACATTGTCATGTATTTTCTAGAATGCAAGATCGTCTTTGGTTTTCTCTTTTTTTTTAGAGTAGGTTTTCTCTTTGAAATCCATCACCGTGTTAAATATATGAGAAATGCTAGAGGTACCCCAAAATGTGGTACCCCATTTGTACCTCACTCTTTGAGTGGCTTACAAAACCTCAACCCCACAAAATAATTGCCCCACTTAATTCATTGTTTTTGTGAACCACAAAACTAGGGAGGAGTACAAAATGGGGTAGAAAATGGGGTAGCTTTAGAATTTTTCTAAATATATTGTCAAAGACGTTCTTCTCAATGTGGATTACATCTAAATTGTGATGAATAAGAAGGTCTTTCTAATATGACAACTCCCAAAATATACTCCTCTTTGTCCACTTATGTGTATGACAATATCTATATGGCTTTTTCTTTGGCTCTTGCATAACCGTAGGAATACGTCGAACCCGATTTAAAATTTGTTCGCCAGTCAGTCTCGGGGGTGGCAGGTACTTTTCCAAAATAAGTAATTTCATTTTTTAGCTTTAAAGCATTTTAACCAATAAAATTGTAATTTCAATACCCTAAAAAGAAAAACTATGTTATATATATTGATATCAGAATGAAAATCGTGCCAAATTATATTATAATAAATGTACAATACAAATAAAAAATATCATTATATATTTTAATAGGATCAAAATTATATTTAATTATAATCATAATAATAAAAGATACCGTATAATTTAATTATAGTATTTTATTCATTTGAAATACATTTATTTTTCCAACAAATAAATGCTACCGATAAACATTTTCCATATTACCAACCCACAAGCACGACACTAAGTAGTCAGCGATCAATTGCAAATTATATGGTACAGCCGGCTGTACCGTGCGCACGGTACAGCCGGACTTTTAGTTCGCGAATTGCAGGCTTCCATCGCAGACTTCCGTCATCGCAGGGCTTCCATCGCAGGCTTCCGTCATCGCAGGCTTCCGTCATCGCAGGGCTTCCATCGCAGGCTTCCATGGCCGATCATCCTTGCTCCGTTGCTCGCCGCCTACTAGCACCTCTCCCTTTTTCGACAACCGCATCCCTTCAGCAGCTCTCTTTCAGCTTCGTCCTTAACTTCGCACGTTCTGTTCCTTTCTTTTCCTTTTTCTATTTTTCTCACACTGATTATTTTAGTTTGGTGGTTTTTGGGTCAGGGATAACCTAGGTTGTACGTAATTCTAAAGATATGAGCATACGCAAATAAAAGTTTGAGCATGGTGGTGATTTTAAATGAGCCTAAAAGAAATGAGTATACGCCTAAAAGAAATGAACCCACACAAACTAATATTGAACACATTGAAAATGAGTTTCATGTAAAATTGAAATGAGTATAACACCCAAAATGAATGAGCATACTCAAATGAGTTTTTTGAACGCTCATTTCGTAATTTATGTATACCCATTTGATATTAGTACAATACTCTTTTTAAAATGTCATATTCATGCATATTTCAAAATGAGTTTTAAGTTAAATTCAAATGAGTATTATGCCCAAAATGAATGAACACACAAAAATGAGTTTTTAATATTTTGATACTCATTTTGTAAATTATGTATGCTCATTTGGTATTGTTTTATGCTCATTTTAAAATGATGCACATATCAAATATACGCCCAAAATCAATGAGCATACACAAATAAAGTTTTGAATTTTTTTATACTCATTTTATAAATTATGTATGCTCATTTGGTACTGTTTTATGCTCATTTTAAAATGATGCACATATCAAACATATCATACTACATTAGATTCACATATTGAAATTAATTATAAACATAATTTAAGATTTTTAATTTTTATAAATGAAAAAATCATAAAAAGAAACCGAATTAGAAAATATGAAGCAGAGATCACTGGTGCTCATTGTTAGGCTTTTAATACTCAGAAGAACAGGCTCGATGCTCATCAAAATTACATCAATGCTCATTTACGAGAAACCGCGAACTTCATGAAAATTACAAAACTGCCACCGGCTGTACGGTGCCAGCCGTACAGCCGGCTGTATGGTATACGCTTCCGCGATCAATGCACAATCTCATCATTAATGAAACATACAATTCTCCTACAGTTTCTGTCATTTCAGCTGCGGCGCGGAGAGAGATTTGAGAACGGCTGTTCCGTAGGTTTTGGAAATTAGTGACGGAAGATATCGTCTGAAATTTGATAAACAATGTGAAATTCTAAATTAAAGGGAAACCACGCTTGTTGTCGACCATTTGGTGACCCTATTTGAGACCATATCATCAAGCTTATTTTTGACTCCCTTTTGAACGTTTTTGACATTTTCATTAATTACATAACTTTTCATTTGAATGTTTTTTACAATTTCATTAATTACATAACTTTTCAGTACTAAATATGATTAATATAAGGCTCGTTTGGTAATTCTATTTTTTACTTTTTCATCAATTACATAATTTTTCATTTTACGCACGAAATATGGTTAAGAGTGTTATTTCACACAACCAAATTTAGGCCAAACACAAAAAGATGTGTCAAAAAACTTCGAGTCTCTTTGGTAACACCAAAATTGGCTGGATCGGCTGATTCTGCTGAAATTTTGGTCGAAGTGGCTAGATTGGCTGATTCTACTGATTTACAAAAAAATTATATATTTTTATAAATAAAATAAATAAAAAATTATATGAAAAAATTATCGTTGGAGGAGGAGGAGGAGTGATTTTGATAGTTGGTTCGTGATACTTTTTGTCAGAGCTGGTCTTTTTTAGTTTGTTATAGCGATTCGTTTCCTAATGATTTTGATATAAGTGTTGGATTTGATGATAAAAAAAAAGTTTCCATACATTTTGTTACAGTTCTTTGTTTCTTATTTAAATTAAAATTTCGCCTCTTTAATTTTAAAATTTACATCACAAAATTTTCAATTTTTGTTTTATGCATTTTGTGAGACACATGATTCAACTGAGAAGATGAACAAAAGTGGCCGAAAAAAAGTACACAAATGCTATTGCTACCCCAATTTGTAACCCCTCCCTATATTTATGGTTCACAAAAGCAATTCATTAAAATGGAGCAATTCATTTAATGTTTTGGGCTTTTGTGAACCACAAATATAGGAAGGGTGTACAAATGAGGTACCAGAGGTACCTCTAGCACAACTCAAAAAAGTACGCTCACCTGGAGTAGATTTCATGCAGGTGGCTATTTTTGACAAGAAAAACTGGTAGTCTATTTTTTAAAACAAATTTAAAAAGTGAAAATAGTGATATTATTTCCCTATGTAAGCTTGTTTGTGAAAATTCCAAATTGTGAGTAGTTTGAGATGTACACAAAGGAAAAGAATCATTTCAATGTTTGTATTCTCTAAAAATCTGTTTGGTGACTATGTTTTTTCATTTTTTGAACTGATTATTTGTGGATTTGTGGTGCACTGATTTCTTATGGTTTCGTTTGAAATGACTGATGGCTTATCAGCCAACTTTTGCACCAAAGGTGTAACTTATGATTTAGCGCGTTGAATTGTGTCATAATAAAAAAATGTAAGGGCCTGTTTATTAACAAAGATATTTTCCAGTTTTCTGGAAAACTGGAAAACTGGAAAACAGAAAACAGAAAATGTGTTTACCAAAGAAAATTGTTGGAAAACTGGAGAAAGGAAAACAGAAAAACGCGTTTACCAAATCGTTTTCCAGAACGAAAAAAAATGAGACATGTCTCTCTTTTCCTTAATGATTTGGAGAAGTGACTTCTACTAGTTTTCCAAAATTAGGAAACGCAGATGCTACAGTGCCGCTGCAATGAATTTGCATACTCACACCTAGTGGTGGGTCCGGTCCCGCTCCGATGTCGATTCCATTCCGGTACCTCCATTCTCGTACCTTACCTCTTACCCCTACTCTACCCACCCTACCCCCACCCCGTGTACCCCTTTTCCCTACAATGACCCCACCCCACCCCCTACCACATGCCCCTACCTTGGCCCCACCCCGATCCACCCTACCCTACCGCCACCCCCCTACCACCTCGACCCGACCCCGACCCACCCTACCCTACCCCCACCCCTCGTATATTACCCTTACCCCTTATCACATGCCCCCTACCTCGGCCCCACCCTACCGCCATCCTATCCCCACCCTCATACCCCCACCCTACCCTACCCTTCCCTTACCTCGGCCCCACCCTACCCCAACTCCCTACCCTACCCCTACCTTACCCCAACACCCACTGCCCCACCCTTACCCCTAACCCACCCACTACCCCCACCCTTACCCCTAACCCACACACTGCCCCACCCTTACCCCCACCCAACCCCTACCCCTAGAGCTTACCACCCCGACCATAACCCTTACCCCACCCTCACCCCAACCCCAACCCCTGCGAGTAGGTATGGGTGGGTATGAAGGGTTGTAGGGGAGTATGGGTATTGTGTAAGATCGTGGTAAGGGTAGGGGTAGGGGTCAAGGGTGTGAAATTGGGTATAGGGTGTAGGGTGGGGGTACAAGGTATAGGGGCGGGGTAGGGATCAGGGGTATGGGTATACGTACGAGGTGATCGACCCCATATATTATATTATACATTTGTGTTTATGATTGTTTGTGTGTCTATATATGTATAGGGTTATTTTGGACATTTTAATGTTAAATGGTGTTTTAAACTTTTTGAAGTAAACATGATCTTAACACATTGCTTATTTTATGCGCCGCTTATTAACGCGGGTCTTAATAAGCACCATTTAGTAACCCGTGAAGTAAACGTGTCCTCAGTCTTCTGGATGATCACAGAACTGGGTGAAAAAATTGATGAACATGTTTTCAGATTTGAAAATGGAAAACTAAAAAATAGAAACAGAAAATTGGAGATAGAAAAACTGAAAAATAAAAACAGAAAACCGGAGAACGAAAACAGAAGTAGAAAACAGGAAAATATCTCTGTTAGTAAACAGGCCCTAAGATTGTAATTACTCCGTAGTTTCATGCTAAATTGACTGAAAATACTGTAGAGGACCATTTTAATTATTTTTAATTTTGTTTCTTTATTCATTGTTGAAATGCACAAATAGGACTCTCTTATTTTATAGGACCAAAAAGCAATTGGTTAGACAAAAATGCCCTTAATGAAATTACACGTTAAAAAAACCTTCCCCCAACTGCTTCATTCGACGATGCACATAGCCGATTCACATGCCTGAACTCCAAACATAGCCGACACCCCAAACATAGTCGACACCTTTAGCAACTTCCGTGCACGGCTGCCACTGTTGAGACTGCCGCCGCAGCCAAGGGAGACCACCGCCGCAGCCATGGGAGACCGCCGCCGCAGCCATGGGAGATGACTTTCCCCTTCCTACAGGGAGAGTGGAGCCATAGCTAAATTCTTCTCTGAAGTGTATGGTATCAATTTTCTTAGTCACGTACTCACATTTGTCCCCTGTGGAGTGTATGGTATCGATCTCAGACAAAATTGCAATTATGATAACTATAATGACAAAAATGGCATTTCTACATGCAAAAACATGGAATTTTCATATTACAAATTATGACATTTTCACATTTTAGATTCGAAAATGAGAAATAGGAGAAGAAAAATGAAGAAGCAATGTTGCTGAGTAATTCAATTCAATGCCATAAAAATGCCACAATTTGTGAAAATGTCAAAAAAATTGGCATTTCCAAAAATGTAATGTTCCCATCTCCATAAAAAATGCCATAAATATGGCATTTCTTACAAGCTGATAAAGATAAACAATAATAAACTTTAGATCTGAATGTTTTTGAACAAGAGCTTCGATATTTCATACCTAACTGTTTTGGATTCAAAAGTTTCAAAACAAAAATTAAAGGAAAAATTGACAAGAATAATTTCACCTTTCACTCGTCTTCTCATGATAATCTCACCTTTAAATAATCTCACATTTGCATCTCATCTTCTTTCATTGGACCCTAACCAGGTTATTTAACTTTGTTTGAAAATCTTATATAAATAATCTCACCTTTTCACTTTATTATTATATCTTTATAAATGTGAGATTATTTATATAAGATTTTCAAACAAAGATAAAAAACGTGGTCAGAGTCCAATGAAAGAAGATGAGGTGCAAAGGTGAGATTATTTTGGGATCATTTAAATGTGGGATTATTATGAGAAGACCAATGAAAGGTGGGATTATTGTTGTCAATGTTTCCAAAATTAAATTTTTTAGTGAGAATTGGAAAAACATTCGAATGAACCGGCAGAAATTAATCGTAAATACAAGATAAGCAAAGAATAGAGGAGGAGGAAGGAGAAGGAGAAGAGGAGGAGGAGGAGGAGGAGAAGAAGAAGCAGAAGAAGCAAAAGAAGAAGCGGCGGCGGAGGAGGAGGAGAAGGGGATTACCTGTCGAGATGTTGGCTGGAGTGGTGCGCAGAAGAGAATCTCAATACTCGGAGAAGAGTTTTGCAGATGATGCAGAGAAGAAGATGTCGATCGATCGAGGAGTGAGGCGCGGAAGATGGGGTTTTATTATAGCAGGGGTAATTCGGGAATGAGAGGTCCTCTTTAGGAATAATCAAACATCAGCTCCCATTTAGGAATTTTGATCATAATTTGGTCCTATTTAGGGGTAAAAACTTATTATAAAAATATATTTATTAATAAAACTGCCATGTTTTTATTCCCAAATATGTCAGAAATAAGACCTATTTTGAGTTATTATCCGAAATAGAACTAAAAATGTTTGAAAATTCCAAAATGGGACTGTCATGTTTTTATTCCCAAAATAGGACTAGTTACTGTCATGTTTTGGCAGTACCAGAATTCAAACATGATAGTATTTTCCAAACTCAGCAGTAGTTACTCTTATTTTGAGAATAAAAAAATATTACAGTCCTGTTTTGGAATTTTCAAACTGTTTTAATCTTTTTTTCGGGAACTTTACAGATATATTTTAAATATGTTTTTTTGGGTAAATTTGGGACATTATTAAAGCCGTCTAAGAAACCCTTCTGCTCTTGCAATCGAAGGCACGCATCTCGGTCTATAACCATTCTTAGGTTTCGTTTGAAATTACTGTATTTCTAATTTCTCGATCTTATTGGTCGTTGTTGTTGTTGGTTTTTGGTCTTCAAGCGATGAACCCTAATCCGACTAAGGTGAGTTCGTTATCTCCTTCAAGTGCATTCAGCTCATTCTTACGTGTAAAAGTGAAATAATGGATTATCAGGTCCTTGACATTGAACACGGTACCAACAAGGAAAGCGGTATTGACGGGCATGGGGAAAAGAGAAAAGAACCCCATGAAAAAGAATTCCAAAATTGTCCTAAATAAGAATTCCTAAAAAACACAAATAAAACTACTACTTTTTAAATTCCCTAAATACCCCTAAGAGTATTAATTCATAATGAAATGTTTTAATTCATATTAAAATCATAAAAACGTAAAAAATATTTAAAAAACGTAAAAAATCATAAAAAATTATACAATATTTATAAAATAAAATATTAATTTTTTTTTTATTTTTTTAAAAAAATAATAAAAAATAGTAAAAACCCATAAAAATGGAAAAAATTATGGATACTTTTCCCGCCGCCTCCCCGCACCACCTACTCCGATTGGTGAAATTTCTTCCACTTTGGTAAAAAAATGTCATCTTTTTCTGAAAATGCCAAAAAGATGGCATAATTACTCTTCAATATGCCAACGTTTTCATTGAATATGCCATCATTATGGCATTATTTAAAATGTTGTCATATTTTTCTCTGGTGATGGGAGCTGGTGGTGCTGGGGTGGTAATGTTTTTTTTACGATTTTTTTTTATTTTTTTATTTGAATTTCTTTTTAAATTTTTTAAAAATTTTTTTTTATTAATTTTCAATTTTTTTACGATTTTTAGATTTTTTTTTATTTTTATTATTTTTTTATGATTTTATTATTAATTAAAACTTTTCACAAGCTACAAGGGTATATTTGTCCAAACACACATAAATAATCCTATTAGGGTAATTTAAAAAATGTAGTCCTATTTGTACAATTTTGATAATTTTTAGTCCTCTATTTAGGGAATTGACTCAAAAGAATTCGCACCTCCAAATCCCAAGAGAAGAGACAACAAAAGTATCCTCACCCACAATGAGGATGATGAGGAGGAGGACAAATATGACGAGGAGTTTGTCTTTGAGACTACAGGCGGTGATGATTACAAGGTAGTAGTCTGTATTTAGACATTTCGCTTTTTTTTTATACAAGCATTTCATCAGCTTGTTGATGTTTAACAAAAAATGCTATAACCACCAGGGCTTGGAATCTATAGTGAATGAGTCGACTCCTAATGGTTCAGAAGCTGATAAGAGAATTCATTCGGTGAGCTAGCTATACTCACTCTTTTAGTTCCTTTATAGCTAGGCCTAGAATTGATCATGCTGAATATATATTACGGAGTAATTAATACGGAGTAATCAAGGTTGATGGTAAACCCATTGAAATAAAACTAAAAAATTCACCTGAATGTGAACAGGCATGTTCAAGTAGTAATGTGTGATATAAAATGGACCACTCTTAGACTCTTAGTTGCTTCCATAGTTCAGGGCTCCAGTATCAACAACATATGCACCCTTTAAAAAGTTTATTCTGGTAATTTAGAAAGGTCTAAAGAAAATATTGGACTTGGGTCTGAATTTTGATGACCAGCATCCATCCTCATTTGTTCGAGTCATGCATTTTCCTGGATCCCTTTTATAGCTTACCTGTATATTTTGATCGATCATCATCATCATTACCCCAGTGCCGCAAACAGGGGTGGCCCTAGGGGGGGTGCAAGTGGAGCGGGCACCCTAGGCCCAAAAAATATGGGTAAAAAATAGGCCCAAGTTTAGTTCTTTGTAACAGATGTGAGTAGGTTGATTTTTCGGCCCTAAAGTAATAATTTTTCGAGTGGAATTTGTTGAAGTTCTTCTCAATGGATTTTTATAGCGAAACTTGTGATCATGTTTTCTATGAAGTTTAGAGTATGTGAGAAAAAATTCAGTCTAAAGTTTAATTTAGAAGTCACCCAAATAAATTATTGAAAACACTGCTTTTTTACACATATTTTGGCGCATTGTGTTTCAATAACTTATTTAACTGACTTCATGATTGCATTTTAAGTTGAAATTTTATGGACATAATCTACACGTGATGAAAAACATTCTCTTAAAATTTCATAAAGAAATTCCACTGGAAAGTAGATTAGTCTAATATGATGATTTGATTAGTTTATTAATCAATTCCATTCATGGTTGTTTGAATTCTTAATTGTTTATTGTTTCTATTGAGTGTTGGTGTTATAACTTGTTGATTTTGTTATACAAATATTTTCAATTATGATAAAATTTATAAACTTAATTAAATTCAAAATATAATAAAAAGGATTGAATCCGAATACAATAAATACAAAAGAATAGAAGATTAGAGAAAACAACGATAAGTAAAAAAAAGTTCAACGGAAAAATTTGTTTGTGTAAAGAAATCAAATTCTGAATGTTCTTCTCAAGATGAGAACACATAGTCAAATTCTAAATGCATGAAATAGTATTATTCTAATTATTATGCATGTCATTTAAGATAAAAAGCTTTCTACAAATTTTTTGTAACATTAGGCCCATTTTAATTTTCCGCCCCTAGGCCTTCGAACATACCGGGCCGCCCCTGGCCGCAAAGGCTCCTACCTATGGTGGGGTAAGGGAGGTCGGATGTACGCAGTCTCTAGCACAAAGAGACTGTATCCGGATGACCCATAGTAAAAATCGCGTCAAAAGTTGCATGGACTGATTGATGCTTCACAACAAGGAAGCGCAGACAGTTTTGTTAACCATTTTTCTTTATTCCATCATATTCCCAAGCCAAAAAGTAGTAAGTCTTTACTGGTGCCACATGGAAGTTTATTTGACTTTAGGGGTGGAGCTACAAAATATGTTTACGGGTGGATTTTTTTTCTCATACCCATTGATCATTTTAACATTTTTCAGAACATATGTTATCAAACTATCCATACTGATGAGTGAACCTTTTTAAAGTTAGTTAATATGGATTAAACATCCTAAGTTGTGAATAATATAATATTGGTCTCAACTCTAAAGTCCCAACATCACTCTGGCTGTGTTGTTTGTACTGTAGGCTGCTTTTGGATAATATATGGTGGTAAGTAATTTCATGTGCATTAGCTGTGTTAATTAAACTTTATTTTTTTGCTACATACTTGTCATGTGTGAAGCTTTAATGGCATGGAAATTAAAAATACAGGCATGAGACACATTCTCAGACAATTGAATTGAGTTCATCCTTGGTTTTCTTAGTTGAAGATGTCTTTCTCTGATTTTTTTCATTTATGATAGTGGTGCTTGGTTTGTGTTTGCAAAGGTACTAGGTACTTGGTTTGCGCAGATTTTATGGTAATGTTCTGTTCGTGTTTGGGGTGAATAGTCTCTCTTTTACGTGTTTTTTAGTTGTTTCCTTTGGCTTTGGCTAACCTTTTTATGTTTATTTGTTTCTCCCATTCTCCCCTTCTTATATGGTTTCTGAAAATCGAGTTATTTATTCCATCGCAGCTTAAAAAGCTACAAAATTTACATTACGAACATGCAAAGAGTAACCCAAATTTTCACGGGAAGATGAGGATCAAAGCTGTCATAGCTAGGGATGCCGTAGTAGTAATGTCAGTCATGACTTTCATCAGCTGATCATTGAAAAATTTCAGCTCGTCATAATTTCTAAATGTCTGAGTTTCTGGTTTGTACAAAAGTGGTGCTATCTTTTGATCATGGCATATTTGCACCACATGTATTTTATGTTTGATGGCAGTTGGTTTTACACATACATTTGAATATGTATGTGGGCTATTTAGCTATGTATTAATTTTTTTAAAAAATGGGTTGGTCAATGGAAGTTCCACCGTATGATAAAAAGAATGAAATCTTTACCTATCAATGACTAAATCTTTACCATTGGAAATTACAGTTTTCTAGTTAGGAGCGTTGGGAAATTACAATTGAGAACAATATATGTATCACGATTTAGCGGCATCTTAAGATGCAAATGGCAAGTGAATGTGAACATATAATCTTCATTTCAAGTATGTGTGTCCTAATTTATTTGCTTATTGATGTTCTATCTATCTTTGTCTTTTTATACATCAGACGAAAATGGCTGGAGTTCTTATAACATTGCATGGGAGTACTTTGTTTATTGTACTCTGGTTTTTTATGTTCTAACTTCCAAGTAGATTTCCAAAAAAAATCGGCAAAATTTGTTTATCTATAATCCCATTTTCTGATTTTTTTTTCTGCTTAGTTACGTTTACATGGATATAATTTATCTAGTCAAATGTTGTGTGGGAGCTTAATTGGGGACAACCTCATTTTTCCTTTATCTCTCTATGGTCAACTTCCAAGTTCCAAAGCCATAAGCTTAATACCTCATTGTGTCTTGTATCAGCTTCAAGGCTACAAATACATGTGTTATTTTTGTTTCCCTTCATCTATCAATCCAAGAACTGTTACTTAGTTTTCCCTTCGTCTACCCCATATGTTTTCGTTATTTTTTCATTTGTCGAAAGCCATAGATTCCGTATCAACTTTAACATGAAATTCTTTTTAGAACTTGGGTAGACTAATGTTTCCTCGTGGATATAGATGGACTCGGTTCGGGCCGGGCCCGGGCCGGGCCTAGGCCCGGTCGGGCCTCCGGTCCTGGATTGGAGGGCCCGGAACCGGCCCGTGTAACCCCCCGGTCCGGGTCGGGCCGGGCCGGGCCTCGGGTTTTTTTTTTTGCCTTTTCCTAATTAACCCCAACCCCCCTCACACCCTAACCACCTCAAATGGCCCAAAATACCCAGCCCAATCCAAAAACTTTAAAAAAATTCAAAAAAAATTAAAATGGCCTGGACCGGGCCCGAACCGGCCGGGCTGATTCACGTTTTGAGGGCCCGAGCCAGGACCGGAACCACCTCGGGTCGGGCCTACCCGGACCGGTCCCTGACCAGGCCACCGGACCGGGCCGGGTTGGAACAGTGGCGGGCCGGGCCGGTTTCAGGTCGGGCCAACCGGCCCGAGTCCACCCATACTCGTGGAAGAAACAGTTATTCTCACATTGTAGTCGTTGCTACGGTGTTAAATTGTTAATTCTTGGGAACTGGTGAGATGTTCAAGAGGACATAGTATACGACAATATATGACATTTCTTTAAAAAAACACGTCTTATCTCAAATATATTTTTGAAAAAAGTATGAAAAAGGTGTTGAACCATTTTCAAATTGGGCATGTGTTTCTTTTTTTTAAACAAAGTGGGACATGTGTTTCAATTCTGTTAACAAAGTTGTGGCTTGAACAGTTGTAATATTGTTTCCGTTGCTTTAAATGAATATTTTACATTTTTTTTTGCTCCAGGGGGGTCTGGGGGAGGAGGGCTGGGGGGAGCCTGGAGTAATCAGGGCTGAAACCCACTCCATTGAGTTTCACACTCTTGTGTGCCTAGCGGGATTCGAACTCGAGACCTCCCACTAGGCATGATAACCTCACAACCAGCTGGGTTGAAATGGAATTTTACATTGTTTATGAATTTACTATGTGTGAATGGTATTCAACACACCTAGTATAGTATGAATGAATTGGACTGCGGTTGACTATTCGTATTGTACGTCGGGTTCTTGACGTGTCTGGTAGGTCCGGGGCGTGACAAATCAAATATAGAACTAATGTCTTATACCGATTTAATAGTAGCATTTAATCTTTTTAACCCCTTGATGAAATTAATTGAGATTGATAACCTTAACACAACGGTTTCGGTTTAACCAACAAAATTAATCCCTATTAAGTTTATGGGAAAAGTGTCAAATAGGCCCCCCTACTAATACGGAAAAGTCAATTAAGCCCCCCAACTAAAAAACACCCAATTAAACCCATGAATTATAAAAAACGAGGCAACACAGTCATTTTACCATATAATTAGCAGTTTAAACATTACACTCATGTAAGTGTAAATCAGCAAAACACAAAGTGAGGGAAAGGCTTCGGATGAAGGGGTATTTATAGACACCCCCTCCAACGGTCACTACATGTGGCAACCAGCCAATGGCCACACCAATGGCCACCTCTCCCAAGACCAATCGTATACCGCTTGTTCAAATTCCCCACTATACACTCCGTTGTGGCCCAAGTTAGCCCATCACCATGGTCATTGCAACGGCCACACACGCAAGAATGGGCCGGATGACGGCTGTCCCAACAGCCACTGAGTTGGCAACAGCCAGTCCACCAGTAAGGAATCCTCACTACGGCTTAAACCAGCTTGACAAACCTCACAACCAGCTGGGTTGAAATGGAATTTTACATTGTTTATGAATTTACTATGTGTGAATGGTATTCAACACACCTAGTATAGTATGAATGAATTGGACTGCGGTTGACTATTCGTATTGTACGTCGGGTTCTTGACGTGTCTGGTAGGTCCGGGGCGTGACAAATCAAATATAGAACTAATGTCTTATACCGATTTAATAGTAGCATTTAATCTTTTTAACCCCTTGATGAAATTAATTGAGATTGATAACCTTAACACAACGGTTTCGGTTTAACCAACAAAATTAATCCCTATTAAGTTTATGGGAAAAGTGTCAAATAGGCCCCCCTACTAATACGGAAAAGTCAATTAAGCCCCCCAACTAAAAAACACCCAATTAAACCCATGAATTATAAAAAACGAGGCAACACAGTCATTTTACCATATAATTAGCAGTTTAAACATTACACTCATGTAAGTGTAAATCAGCAAAACACAAAGTGAGGGAAAGGCTTCGGATGAAGGGGTATTTATAGACACCCCCTCCAACGGTCACTACATGTGGCAACCAGCCAATGGCCACACCAATGGCCACCTCTCCCAAGACCAATCGTATACCGCTTGTTCAAATTCCCCACTATACACTCCGTTGTGGCCCAAGTTAGCCCATCACCATGGTCATTGCAACGGCCACACACGCAAGAATGGGCCGGATGACGGCTGTCCCAACAGCCACTGAGTTGGCAACAGCCAGTCCACCAGTAAGGAATCCTCACTACGGCTTAAACCAGCTTGACAAACCATGGATGGCACTTCACCGGCCAAAAGCTAAAAACTTATGCAAAAACTAAGGCCTATGACCACTCGCGCACAACTCGTTTGATACTAACCTTTGGCCTGCGACCTTCATCCAAGGGTTCTCCCACAGGGTTAACTTGGGCAGGATCGCCTAGGGGTTGGAGTCACAAGAAACACAAGGGTGCCGCTTCGGCCCGTGATACTATTTTATTCCTTTGCACCTTGACACTCTCATCGGCCAAGGAGTGGGGGGTTGGGGGACTACATCGGCCACAAAATAATATACGAATTCAAAAAGAACAAAAGAAAAGCAACAACATCGCAACGTCCACAACCATACAGATCACCCTCGGCTAAAGTCACCCTCATCCTCGTCACCATCAAACGTCTCCATGGCACCAAGGGCGACTGTCCACCACAATTTGAGGCATCAACAACGAACGTCTCCATTTGCATGTGCCTAACTTAGAGAATTCGAGCCAAAAAGGTCATCAAGCATAAGGAATACATTGGCGACAAACGTCTCCATTAGCCCTCGACTTAAGGGCTCTACACCAGCAGTAGGGTTACGTACGACCCGCTACTCTTAATAAAAGGCCCCCATGGCCCATAGAAGCAAGGGACGTACGTCCTCAGTCTCCAAGCTCGTCTGGGGGCAGATACCCCCACACGTCCGTCTCCAAGGCTTGGCCTCGGACCTCTCTTCGGTCGGAACAGCAAAATGAAAAACAGGGACAAAACAGCACATCAAACCCACATGGCTTCGCAACAGGGGTAGGGCCCTAGCAAGTCGATCCCCCACCTGGCAAACGGAAAAGCAATAGTCATTGGGGTGTAAAAAGTCGCAGGCCGTCCGGGAACTGGTGCATAGAGCTGGCAAACTTTGCATCTCTTGGTGTGTGCAAAACGGTCCTGCTGGATGGTCGGCCAGTAGTACCCTTGCAAGATAATTTTCCTGGCAATGTCTTAGGCCCTTGATGGTTCGTACAAATTTCTTCATGTATCTCTTCCATGACAGTAGTTGCTACATCGGGCGGGAGGCATTTCAGATAAGGCCCCCCGAACGTCTTTTTGTATAGCTGCCCATCCACCAGCTCGAACATTGGGGCTCTCCTTTGGATGCATGTCAAGTTATAAACATCGTTCTTGTCGTTCGGTAATGTCCCATCCTTCAGGTAGTTGGTCATGTTTGTGACCCAACTCGGTACTGCATATGAAATAACATCTACCCGAAGGACCATAGTTGCTGGCGTGGCAAACACTTCTCGATGCGCAAACTTCTGGATGTACGTGGGAATGCCCTGAGCCCGCTCATCCAATGCAGCATGCTCCAGTTTTGATAGGATGTCTGCCTCAGCATTTTCAATTCTGGAGACCTGGTCGAGCACCACCTGCTCAAATTTGCTGACTTGCTCCTCGACCAGCTCCTTGTATGCCTTCAATCTTTCTTCTCTGGCCTCTGCGAATCCGTTCACCTGGTTTACTGCCAGCTGGCTATCTGACCGGACCTTCAGCCGGTCGGCACCCAGGGCTTTAGCATATTTTAGACCTGCAATAAGGGCCTCATATTCGACCTCATTGTTAGTTAGTTTAAATTCAAAGTGTACAGAATAGTATGCTTTAAACCCTTCGGGGGAGGTGATCACAACCCCCCCCCCCCACAGCCTTTGGCACTGGACGCCCCATCCACATACATCTCCCACCAGTTCTCCAGCATCCCCCCGTTTGACCCTTCCTCTGTTGGCCGAGCGGTGCATTCAGCAATGAAATCTGCCAACGCCTGGCCCTTGATAGTAGGGCGAGGTTTGAAATCTAC